TTATAAAGCAAAGTTTCATGTGCATTCAAATACAATTACATGTAAGTGAACTGGTGAATTATGTGTTGGGCATTTATGTCCTATGGACATATTTCTAGTATTTTGTATGATTAAATGAACAACAATTCTTTGATTAATTATATTTTTTATTTTGATGATTTTTTCTAGTCTTTTCCAATGCAATTTTCTGATTTTTATTGTACCAAAATATGTTTTTTTTTTTAATTTTTAAAAAATATTTGATAGTTTATTTTATCGTTAATAAAGTTGTTGAAACATGATCTTTTCTTTTATATATATGATATAATTGATATTCCATTTTCGAGCTCAGGTCTTTAAAAAGTGAAAAAAAAAATATTATTGTCCCTATTAACTTAAGATCTGATAGTTAAAAATGATTTTTGAGACGACCTCTGTTGTTACAACTATAAATAACAACGATAGGTGGCGAAAACCGGAACTACTTGAAATCATCTAAACTGCTTGAACTCCAGCATATTTTAATTGGAAAACTTTGATTATAAAGTATAACGTTTTAAACAAAATATTAATGTGGCTTGAAAGAGTAAATAAAGGACTATTTATTTCAATGTAGAAATCAAACACAAGTCCTGCATAAATAATTTACCGAGTGTTTTTCCCGTTACGATCCGGAACTGCTTAAATCACTGTACTCTTGTTCGTTTGTACCAGCTCTTTTGAGAAAACCCCTTCCATGCTTAATATTCGGAACTGCTTAAAATGGGATGTTGTGAATACTGCTCTTTATTTTGGATTTATGTCGTATTTTCAACGAAACAAAATTTCATGAGATAGAAGATACATCAGTGTTTCATTCACATATCATAAATAAAATACATACCTTACAACAGTTTCAACACACGTCGTTTCTCTCAAGATAGCACGTGTTTATTGTCAATCAAGGTCACTAAAGCGCTTGCGGTTGTAAACATAAAGCCTGGGCACGGTAAGAAAGACGGAGTTGTTGATCTCGCTATTTCGTCCACAGTGTGGACAATACATTAAGCTTCAGTTATGTAAAGAATCATTAGAAACAGAAACATTTCTGTTCGCAAAATTTTAATAATTTAATAAAAATTATTCGGAACTGCTTAAAATCCGGAACTGCTTAAAGCACTGTAGTATATATGAAAAAAAAAACTTGAAACAAATATACGTTTTTATTTTTTAAATTTAATTCGTTTTTTTTTTCAATTCATATCAACAATATTCAAAGAGTTCAACAATCTTGGAGAGCATTGACTTTGTAATATGCTTACTTACTAGTGCAGATCTGAAAATAAATAAAAACATGCCAAAAGAGAGTTTAAAAGTTTAAAGGGACTGACCAGATTATTAAATTTAAATCCTATGAATACATAATTTTTTCGTCATATATTTGCTTAGCCTATGTACATTGTAAATGCTACCTTCTGGAAATTTTAATTTTTCCCATCAGTCTCCATGGACTAGATCGATCTTTAAAATATATGGTTTATCCATTGAAATTCTCAAATTAAATACCGTAATACAATTTACAATGTAACTTGAGCAAAAATTCAACATTATTTTCTATAGGAGTTTTATCAGCATTTATGCATGGTTCTAATCACTGTAATAATTATATTGTTTTGAAATGATAATTCCTGGTTAAAGTTTAGAATTTATTCAAGTCCAAAAGTACAAAATCAAAATTTACATTTTTACACAAAAATTCCTAAAGTGAGAGTGAATTACAAACAAACTCAGGCACGTCTCATCTTTGACAACTCCTCCCACATTTCATAAATGAACCAATGAAACAAGTTAAAAGACAGTAGTAAAGTTTGGGGAAAGCTCAATGACATTAATTTATAACACAGGAAACAATTTGAGTATGCATAACAAATTCAAAGAAACACCAGTCTAAGATCTGACCATAAACCTGATAACAATTATGAGCTAATAGCATCGATACCGTGGGATGGAGAGAGAGAGATGTCAAGTTTGAGAAATTACAAACACGTGCAGCAGTGCTCTTTTTGAAGATCAAATAAAATAATTAATTTTCAATTACAAATTCCCAGTACATCAATTATAATATTTAAACAATACCTAAATCATAAGTACATCTAAGAAACAAACAAATTGTCTTTATCAGAAATATGAATTTATACGCATGTATATAACATCCGCCCCCTAAAAAAAAATTGGCATACAATTTTAAACATTAAACGATAAAGACAATCATAAAATACGCACACAAAAGAAATGTTATACAAAATGATAATGAAGAAAATATAATACATGTACAAGAAGAAAAATACATTCTAGTAATGAAATCAGAAGTGAATAAAATGTTTTCGAAGCATGTATACCTTGGTACCATCAAACATTCTCACATTCATACAAACATAATATTCAAATCAGAGTGCATCATAAGAACTCATAACTTGCGCGGCAATGCATAGTAAAAAAAAATGTAAACAACAAATTCTCGAATATGGTTGTTCAAAGTATAACCTGTATGGAATAACACATCCTCGGTTAGAATAAATCATACCACTTTCAAATAAAGATAAAACAATATTCAATTACGTAATTGCATAAGGTATAACCCTGACGGAATAAAACATCCTTGGTTAGAAAAAGCAATTAATATATCAAACCAACACAAAATTTTTATGTTACACGATGTATGCCACAAATACTAGTACTGCATACTAATACTATGTAGAATTGCATAAGGTATAACCCTGTCGGAATAAAACATCCTTGGTTAGAAAAGCAATTACAATATCAAACCAACACAAAATTTTCATATCACACGATGTATGCCACAAATATCGCATACTATTAATTCCTACCTTCTCAATTTCTACCGTTTTCAACAATATGTATAAGCTGTAATACTTTGTGAATAAAACATCCGTAATTACATAAACATACATACATATGAAACGCTGTAAATTAATACAGATCAAAAGTATCAAACAAAGTTATACACATATATTTACAAAGAGGGATCATGCCTCATATCAAGCATGTCATCGCTTTATGCAACACTCATAACATTGTTACCGTACTGGCGCTTACTTTCAAGCTGTACATTATAACAAAGTTGCAAAAGAAACGATATATGACATCATGATAAAAAAAAAACGTATCAACTCCAGGCATCATTACGCCTCAAGTATACGAACTATATCTCACAGCAGCTACTTCACATTGGTAGCTCAAATTGTGACCAATACCCATTAGTAATTAGCACTACGAGAAAAGTGTACTAAGCTCTTGCAGTTAAAAAACTTAAGCAAAATAGACACACTCGTACCAATGCATAATTATAATGATATTAAAACAAAACACACCAATAGCACATCGATATCGCAAATCGTAATAAACAACAACAAAAACTACTTTCATGCAACTGTAAGGAATATACAGGTCTATGTGAAAAGTACTAAAATAACTAACTTGTCGCATGCATTAACATGTGTACATCTCAGAATCATTGCTTTTAAACAAAAAAAAACTTTATCAGTCAATAAAGAGCGATGGTACAGCCTTCACTGACTTTGGCATGGCGTGAATTTACGCAACAAACCTCTGCAGGTACGGCCAGCTCTTGACTCCCTGTGGCTCGACCTTCGGTATTAGAGGAATTAAGTCCTGTAGGTAACGAACGATTTCCAAACATCGTGTTTCTTATAATTAGGTTTAGAAAATGGTTGGTTGGATGGATAGTCATTTTGAAGAACGGGGAACGTTTCGGTCCCGGATCCATTGGTACAATTTGCACGATCCTGCGGTAAATCCTCATCAAGGGAACGAAACGAAAAGTGCGAGGATACGGGGACATGCATATCGACCACGACTGAGCACAGAAATTCAGCAAATGGTTGGACAGTCATTTTTGAGAACAGGGAAAGCTTCGAAGTCGGGGCCTGGTCCATTTACGTCATCCTTTTGGGAATCCTCATCCACGGAACGAAAGGAAAAATACGTGGATAGTGGGACATACATACTGAACATGACTGAGCACATAAGTTCAGAAAATGCGGGTTGTAGCGCTTCTGTAAAACTGAATTTTACAATTTTCCCATGAATCTCGGCACCACTATAAATTGGTAAAATCTCCGAGAATCGAATAATCCAAATTGAATGAAGATGATAAACGATGTTGAGTTGGTTTATCTCCAAAGTTTCCTGACATTTCCAGTAATATTTGAATAAAGTGAACACAATCCAAAATGTTCAAAGTTCTTATACAGGATACCGTCGTCCCAAAAATTTAGATTCTCCACCATGTAATAATTATATTGTTTTGAAATGATAATTCCTGGTTAAAGTTTAGAATTTATTCAAGTCCAAAAGTACAAAATCAAAATTTACATTTTTACACAAAAATTCCTAAAGTGAGAGTGAATTACAAACAAACTCAGGCACGTCTCATCTTTGACAACTCCTCCCACATTTCATAAATGAACCAATGAAACAAGTTAAAAGACAGTAGTAAAGTTTGGGGAAAGCTCAATGACATTAATTTATAACACAGGAAACAATTTGAGTATGCATAACAAATTCAAAGAAACACCAGTCTAAGATCTGACCATAAACCTGATAACAATTATGAGCTAATAGCATCGATACCGTGGGATGGAGAGAGAGAGATGTCAAGTTTGAGAAATTACAAACACGTGCAGCAGTGCTCTTTTTGAAGATCAAATAAAATAATTAATTTTCAATTACAAATTCCCAGTACATCAATTATAATATTTAAACAATACCTAAATCATAAGTACATCTAAGAAACAAACAAATTGTCTTTATCAGAAATATGAATTTATACGCATGTATATAACATCACACTGACTTTATAGAGAAAGTCGCTATTTGAACCAATTAAAAGTAATTAATTGTAAACATTTATTTGATGATAAGTATACAGGTTGTTATGTGTAAAGCATGTATATTTCATGTTTTATCCATATTTGAATCTCTTTATTCCTTTCTTAAAGAAACATTATTACCAGCCTCTATGGACCCTTGTTGGAGGCGGGCTTAAGACATTTGAGGAGACAGTCAGGTCAACATCAGAAGTCCTCCCCAAAGATTGTGATTGGATAAAAGCTAAGGTTGTGAACTTTGACCCTGACAACAATAAAGTCACCACAAGTGATGGACAGGAGGTATATAAGACTACGATGAAGTTAAATTTAATGGCTACTTAATTTTGTCTTCAATATAAAAAAAAATGCATTTTCAAGTTTAAAAAATGCACCTGTAATGGTTTGGGACATGGACATCGGCCTGGATAGCTCAGTTGGTAAAGCACCTCAAGTCCTGACCAGTGATGCAGGGGTCACAGATTTGATTGTGACCAGATAAGTTCAATCATTGCCTTTCCAGCCCCTCTCCTTGAACAAGTGCTTTAGCTACAAACTGAGTTATCTGTCTACCAATGACTGAATCTGTCACAGTATTGGGGAACTGCCAACCCTTATAATTTGAATAATACTAGTACTATATAAAGTATAATTATAATGGAATGAGGCTAATTCTGATCAGAACTTGTTAATAGAGGGTTTCACTTTTCAATATTTCTTGATTACATCATCTACATCTTACAATTACTATATCATGTAGATAATCAATTTCAGATCAAGTATGAGTTTATGGTTGTAACTATGGGAATGCAGTTGAACTTTAACCTGGTAAGTACATACAGATGCTGACCTCAATTATAAGTCAGTCTTAGTTAGTGTTTAGGCTTAATTAACAATCTGCAAATATATGAAAAATTAGCATGATTAATAACCATGGATTTTGATATCATGGATATGGTGTAATATGAATTTAACAGAATAGACATGATGGATGGAAATGGGTCAAAGGATGTATTCGCTTTAACAAAAGAATTGACCTATAGGAGAGAACAATTTCCCGGAAAAAGTGACATTCAAAAATTAATCTTTATTTGTTATTTTCTATCGTAAATATGTCTAAATTTTTCAAATTTGTATTTTATACCTAATATTTATTTTTTAAACTGTACAATAAACCTCCAAAGTTGACCAAAACACCATTTTGTCCGTTAAATCGTTGGTTTTTGCATGTATTTCGGCCTAGAAGTCCTTCAGGGCAGGCCTGCCCCTAAATAAAACTGTGATATTTTGATAAGTTGGGATGTAAAGAATAATTTAAGATAGGATTTTTTTAGGGGCATCCCTGCCCTAGGGTCGAAATTCACAAAAAACCTACGGAAACCTGATTTTGATAATCCGCTTAAAATTTATGCCATTCAAACTATGTGCTGACTATTACACTGGCGATACTTTTTTTTAAAGTCGAGGGTTCGAATTCCCCTGGTACCACACTTTTAAAGTTTTAATTTTTCGCCTTTTCAAAGACTATTATATTTTCTTATAGACTTGTGCATTTACTTTCAATTATCTATCCTATGCATGCCCATTCTTGATATGAGGAATACTAAAGAGAGATCAGATCGTAACAATCCAATGTACAGTTGTCAGTCAGGCGGAACAATATAAGCACACTTTCTCCGAGGACAAGAAAAGCTCACTTTGTGTTACTCGATACAGGTATTCTTGGCAGCATTGAGCTGCGATGAATTTCATTTGTATATATTCCTTAGAATTTAATCACATTGACTTTTCTACATATATCAGTACCTGTTTTCCTTGGATTTCATTTAGGCCTATACAATTTGCACACATTAATGGCATGTTTTATTATATCTACGGATAAATAGCCTGAACATAAAGAATAGAATTTCAGAGACAGTAGACATTACCATTAAGCACAAAGAGAAGTAAAGAAAAATATCAATTATTATGTTCGGAGATAACAAACTCCGAAATCTATGAAAGGGTTCAGCTTCTATCTCTACTCACTGAAATAAAGATTTAGGAAAAACAAATTGTTATATGTATTCAGCCTAATGTCATTAATCAGAACGGAAATCTGCAAACTTTTTGTAGAGAATAAAACCAAGCCCGGTCCTATAGGTCAGATCCCAATTTATAATGAAGTGATCCTTTTTCGAATCTATTGTTAGACTAAAATACACTAATTCATGAATATATACTGTCTAAAATATCATTCATAAATACAATTATTATTTGTGGACATTTGTAGCACTTGCATGTATTTTTGGTTACACCAACCACTCAATACCCAGTTATTGTGTTAAATCTTGAATACATCAATTTTAAATGTACATGGACACTATATGTATTGTTTCTTTAAAAGATTCCTGGAGCACTAGAGGCTTTGAAGAATGACCCCCAGGTTGTGTCTAACTATGCCCCCTGGACCGTACAGAAAACATTCAAGGCCATCAAGAACACCAAGAGCGGGAATGCTATATTTACTTTCCCCAATACCCCAATCAAATGTGCCGGGGCCCCCCAGAAAATCATGTACCTGGCTGAGGAACAATTCAATAAGGTTTGTTGAATTTCTTTCTAGCGTTTTCCCTTTTCATTTTTATGTGTATCTGTGGAGATACTGTAGAAGTACATTTTTTTGCAGGGTATTAATTCACGCTATGTACACAGTCACAAATTTTCAGCGGAGATTTGTCAAAGCGTACTTAATGTAAATGTAAGGTATATAGTGACAGTCTAAGAAATCCGCGTAATTTTCTACCTGCGGATTAAACAGAAATTAAATTTCTGCGGAATTATGACCCCGCGGAAAAAAGTACGCCTACAGTATAATATTTATGCCTCCCTTTGAAGAGGGGAGGGCATATTGCTTTGCTGCTGTCTGTCTGTTGGTCATTAGGTCGGTTGGTCTGTTTGTCTGTCGACCCAGCTTTGGTTCATTTTCTTCACCGAGGTTGTACATAATGAAATAAAATTTGGTGTACAGATTTTTCATAAGAATATCTAGGTCATGTTTTGTTCAGATTATGATCAAGCATTTTTAACAGAGTTATGGCCCCTTGGACATAGAAAATTTCCAATTACTGTATACAGGGTTAATTTCGACCCATATTATTTTCGCCCTTTCACATTTCAGACAATCTGGTCCCATTTTAAATTTGCCCTGTCACAGTTTCATTTAGAAATTAAATAGTGTTTTTTAAATTCGACCCGTTTTAAATTCGCCCATTTGTAAGTAGGGCAAAGGGGGCGAAAATTAAACATGGCTTAAAAATTTCCCTATATACAGTATCTGCAGTTTCTGTTCATTTTTTTGGCATGTTTGTCCAGAGTGAGGGGCATAAGTTATTCAGAAACATCTCTTGACAATCTTTTATTTGTTTGTTTACAGAATGGAGTAAGAGATAAGGTGACAGTCCTGTACAACACTGCCCTGGGGGTCATCTTTGGGGTCAAGAAGTACGCTGCCAGTCTACTGAAGGTAGTGGAGAAGAGGTAGGCATAAATCTCATCCCAGAATCAGTTGATATCATTCATCAGGAAGGATTTGTTAAAAAAAACATGGATATCGGGCATAATTGACCTGGATAGCTCAGTGTGACATATTATATCACAATGTAATGCAATTACAGAAACATCAAGGTCAACTACAGGAGGAACCTTATTGAGGTCAAGTCTGACAAAAAGGAGGCTGTGTTTGAACATCTGGACTCCGGGGAGAAAGAGACCTTCACTGTAAGAAATATTGCTTGCTTATTTGTGTGTGACAGAGATTGGCACAGAAGGCTGTAGCTCAGTGGTTAGAGCACCTGCATAGTTAGTGAAAGGTCCCAGGTTTGAGTCCCAGTCTTTGCGACATTTTGCCCTCCCATTATTTGTGCCTTTCCCCATCCCATGTGTGTTAAAAGACTAGGATTGCAATATCTATGAGGCATAAGCAAATGAATTTTTATGAAACATTGTAAAATATATGATACAGTTTATGCATATGCTTTAAGTGCCTATGCGGAATTCTTTTCAATGGATCGACATGCTTGAGTGCAGATTACCTGATCAGATTTGTCCTCAAGACCTTGGATGGGGGGGGGGTGGAATTTCCCTCCTTTAATGGCAAAATCCCCCAGTTCTGATATTCCCTTTCAACCCCTTGTTTAAGGGAAGAACCCCATATGCTCATCTACTTTTTTGATGCCCCCTGCATTTCAATTCTTAGGAACAACCCTGTTGGATACTCTAGAAATTAAACCAATCGTGAATGTTATTATTGGTTTTTAATAATGTTAAATTGCTTATAAGAAATTAATTTTGAATTAATTTCTAGACACGTAAAATTAAAACCATCGCGATTGGTACTATTTGAGATATCATGAAAGAATGATTGCACTTAGTGTACTAAACGTGGCCCCCGGTAAATTGCGCAACAATAAGGTATAGAAAGTAGCCTAATGAAATTTCTCTACATCTACCTAGAGCACTTTTACACTAATTTTACAGGACATCTTTATTTTCATAGTCTAGCCTTAAATATGTCTTTTCATCTCTGTTTACAGTACAGTATGTTACACCTGACCCCTCCTATGAGTGCCCCAGATGAGCTCCGCCAGTGTAAGAAGTTGGTGAACGAGGCGGGGTACCTGGAGGTGAACAACCAGACCCTACAGAGCACCAGGTACCCTAACATCTTCAGCATCGGGGACTGCAGCAGTGCTCCTACTTCTAAAACGGCAGCCGCTGTAGGTAAGTGTGGACTGTCGAACCTCATTATCTGAAACTCCTCGGGGTATAAAAAACTACAATGTATAAGATTTCCTTAGGCGTATATTGAGGTTAAAATTCATACTTGTCAAGTTGGACACCATTGGTTCCATTGTAATATTGGACAACCTTTTAAATTATTTAATTTACTGAAATGAACTTAAAATTCACATTGAATTAAGGAAAGATTTTGGAATACACATCTTCTAAATTAAACAAATTTTACTGTACAGTATATTGAAGGAAACTTGTATGTACTTTATGCACATGGGACTGTCTTTTCAGCTTCCCAAGGTGGAGTTGTGTTTAAAAATCTCACTGCCTTGATGGATGGACGACCAATGCCAAAGAAGGTATAATTGCTATGTGTATCTGTTTTAACTCATTAACTCTTTAACTTTCAAGGAAAATGTCCTAGCTATTGCATGCGTAGATTTGCTATTTGTGTATTTCTATTCTACATTAGATTTGGAGAGTACTTGTAACATTAATGGCGTAGAACAAACAAAATGACAGATAGGAAAGCTACTGTACGTGCCACCCAAATGGAAAATCTTTATTTATCACCTTTTTATTTGAATCTTTATATTTCAGTATGACGGCTACACGTCCTGTCCCTTGATCACACGTAAGGGGCGCTGTATCCTGGCCGAGTTTGACTATGACGGGAACCCTCTGGAGACTTTCCCCATTGATCAGGGCAAGGAGAGATGGACCATGTACCACCTTAAGGCTGACGTACTCCCCGTCATGTACTGGCATGGCATGCTCCCGTAAGAATTTAATCTCCCCAGACCTGCCTACCCTTCCGCTTTTGGCGTAATTCTTCCGCTTTTTACTACAAAATTATGCTATTACGCC